GGTGGACTAGGAGGAGAGAGGAAGGAGTAGGGAGGAGAGCCAAGATGGAGTACAGAGAGAGAAGAACTCCATCCCCTCTCTCCAGTAAGATAAGACCACGTGGAAGTACTTAGATTAATTGAAATGGGTTAATCATTAAGAAAGAGCCAGCCAATAAGAAATGTGAGTTTAAGGCCAGCCTGGTCTATAGCAAGTTCCAGGCCAGCCAAAGCTACACAGTGAGACCCTATCTCAAAAGAGAAAAAGAAAGAGAAAGCTCTAATGAAGGGTTTAAACGTTCACAGTCTTACAACTGAATTTAGGTTTCAGTTCTCTTAGAGGGGAAAACAGGTGTCTCCCAACAAGGGGCCATGTGTCAACAAATTACCTTTAGGAACGAGGGAGAGAGAGAACATGAACAAGGCATGAGTCAGCCCCACAGTGTCTCAAGGTAGTTCCTGCAACCCTCTTGAAACTTACCCAAGTATGTCCAAAGATAAAACCTCAACCCATTAAAAGAACTCTGATGTAACAGCTGCTTGCTAATCCACTTACGTCTGAGATGATCTAACTGCTCCTGAAATCCTGCTAGCTGTGTTTAAAAGGAACCTGCATGCTCCTCTAGGGGTCATTGCCATTTTATACAGATGAAGGACCGCACATACTCTGGTAAATAAAGGCTCTTTGCTCTTGCATGCTATCTGAGTCTAGGGTCTTCCTTCAGCGTTTTCTCGAACCCCTACACTAAGACAGATGGCATTGGTGCAAGGACACGGGGTGGGGGGGCGGGAGGGGACACGGACAGACCATACTCATCAGGGGTCAGTCAGCACACAGGGCTGACATCTGTGTTTGCACTGACTGAGCGTGGCTGCCTGTGCAGGAAGGGAAGAGGCCTTTTTCAGTCACCGCCTTCCTCGGCATCTCTTGCCCAGATTCCAGTTCAGAGTATATTTCTGGTGTGGGAATATCTAAGCAAAACAGTGACTCTAGGCTCCTCACTGACCATGAAGGCTTCTGGGTGTGGAGGAAGAGATTTTAGCTGCTGGATGGGGTCCCCTAGCAGCAGATAGCTCCGGGAGACCAGGACTGAGGAGGGCCAAGAGAAGGGCTCGTTGGCCCTGCTCCAGTTACCTGTAGATGGAAGCCAAGGGACAGCTGAGCCACACGTGGTCGGTGGTTTTGTCCAGCTGACGAGTGTCAAAGACGTAGAACGGCTGGTTGGTTTCTGTGCTGGTGTCACAGGGCACCTGGCAGGCTTGCAGCTGGAGTTCAGGCCGCAGGCGGCTGTCGGTCACCCTCTCTCGCAGGTAAAGCCAGCAGGGCATGGGTTTTCCTTGCGGCTCCTCCACGTAGCAGTAGCCTAGACGTTTGCGCTCACCAGGCTTTTCGCAACGGTTACAGTCTTGCCAAGGGTCCCAGCGGGTAAAGACAACTACCTCGCCTCCTAGGTTCATGGTCTCGTTTCCCATGGGTGTTTGGCCCAGGTCCTTGTGTGTGACATGCAGCAGGGCTGTATCCTGAAAGTCAATCTCATATTCCACCACACGGGCCTTGTGATCATCCAGGCAGCGGTAGAGCCCTGTCTGGGAGGGCTGAGGGTTGGGTAACTGCAGGTTGCTCCCAGGCAGTATCTTCACATTGGGCATGGAGTTGATCAGGGACAGTTTGTCCTCCAGAGAAGAAAAATACCATAGTGCTTTGGGGTGGTTGCACTGCAGGATCACGTCATTGCCGGAGAGCAGGGCATAGTGGCACAAGTTCTTGTAGGGACAGTTGATTAGTTTCTGGGCCCACAGCAGGGGAAGGGAAAGACTAGCCAGCCACAGAGTGGCCAGCATGGTTGAAAACTACAGGGGGAAACTTCAGAACCTTCTTGGCTACTGTGACATCATCCATAGAACTCAGGTGCTAAGCCCTGTGAACTGTGTGGTCCAGCCATTTTTCAGAAATACACATCAAATACTTGGGCTGGAGAGACGGTGCAGCAGTTAAGAACACCAGATGTTCTCCAGGGGACACGGGTTTGATTCCTAGTCCCCACGTGGCAGACACACATGCAGGCAGACAAGTGAATATAAAATAAAAACTGAATGATGTATGTGTATGTAAGTTACAACTTACATATCCCAGGAAGTAGAATTATTCACCCTCACACCTCACACACACACATGAAGATAGGGGTGTGCGCTGAATCTAAAGATCCACTAGACTTCACATGTTTGGGTCCCCAACGGTGGTGCTGATGTTGATGGTATTGAAAAACTAAGTGTTCATCCCACCCAACAATAGGAAAGATCATTACTCAAATTCTTTGACCAGAGTATGCAAGCTTTATTTTCTATAAGACAGGGCTATCTCTCTGAAGGTGGAGCTTAGCATCGAACACAGGAGACAGTGGGGTTTATATTAGCCCCAAAAATTCAAGGTTGAGGGTTGTTCAAGGATTTTTGGTTACGTGGAGGAACAGCTGAAAATTATTTGGCAGAACATCTTATCAGGGTGGGGGGCAGTGGAGAGGGTGTGGGATCTGTCAAATTCCAGAACGGGTCGAGACCTGACCAAATCCAAGTTTTACAAAAAAGGAACAAACTTATTTTGACCTTGTAACAAGATAGATTTTAATCTTAAGATGGAGTCAGGCTGGGCCATCACTGGGAAGTGGGACCCAGTTGGCAGGGGTAGGGGAGTCCTTAGGTGGATATTGTCCCTGGTCCGTTCCTTCTGCATCTCTGCTTCCTAGCTGACGTGAAGCAAGTAGCATACTTAGTTCTCTACCTCACCAACCTTGCAATGCAAGCTCCAAAATGACGCAGCCAGGCAAACCTGCCCAGAGACCTTTGAAACTGTGAGAGAGAGAAAAAAATTAAAACACCCCGTTTCTCCCAGGCACTTGTCTCAGAGATGAGAGGTGCCTGATATAAGGACCTCGTGTCCATCAAAAGGGGGCAAAGAGATACTGGTCTCTACCGTTTCTGGAGTCCAGTGGGAAGCCATGACAAGGACCTCCTTGCCAAGTCTTAAATCCTCACCAATCAGCCCCATGGTGTCAGTGGGATGTGCTAGTGGTGGAGTCTAGAGTCCATCATGCTGGGATCTGATTTCATCACCCCACCCTTTTCCACATTCCAGCCTGGCACGCGTTGCTGGAGAGGGCCCCTCCACAAGGTCCCCACCGATGCCAGCTGAAATACTGGTTGCTGTGGCAGCAGGAGGGAGGTCCTTGTGTCACATACTGCCGATGGAATGCTCTGGGCTGGGAGGGGAAGCCATACTTCTGCTTATGCTACTGTCATTGACCTTGTAGCCCACGGAACTACAGAAGGGCCAGGTGGAGTATTTACTGAGCAGCATTGCCTTTAGGCCCGGATAAAATAGAGAATGAAAACCTGACTAGTAAAGTATCAGATTATTTGAAGAGAAAAAGTGGGAGAGAGAAATTGCGGATTAGCCTGCCGGGATATGTGCTGAACCCCTACTTTCAGACCTATCTTCATTTGGAGATAGAGTATGTGCAAATATTGAGTGAAAATTCAGTGATTTAGGGTGGGTCCTCATCTAATACAGATTCCCTTTCGTATGTTGAAGGTGATGGTGACCAAGTCCCAGGAATCGCTAACATATTGATAATAGTGATGTGTACAAAACACAAAATAACATATATTACTGGTTTAGGATTACAAACGGTAAAAATGATGGCTATGGAGAGTTCTTCTATTTAAAAACCATGATAGCTCATGAGCAGGGTGAAATTTTATGAAGAGCCTTTGCCTTTGAATGCCACCCTAAGGAAAATGGGATCAGATGTCCGCTGCAGGAAAGGTATTCTGGTAGTGATACCAGCCATGTGTGGAAGTCTGATTCAGGACCACCGAGCCAGGCCAGTGTGGCTAATCGAAGAGGGTAAAATGACATTGGGAAGGGACAATCAGACCAGTATGAGTATTTTGAGATTTGCTTTGGAGTAAGAACAGACTACGGGAGATCTCTGAGCACAAGTATGTAACTTAACACGAGTTTGGTGTTTCTGTTTGTTTGTTTGACACAGGGTTTCTCTGTGTGGCTTTGGAGCCTGTCCTGAAACTCGCTCTGTAGACCAGGCTGGCCTCGAACTCACAGAGATCCGCCCGCCTCTGCTGGGATTAAAGGCGTGCACTACCAACGCCGCCCGAGCCCTAACAAGAGAGTTCCCAACGCACCAGGGAATGGCCAGTTTACAATTTCCTAGAATGCGTTTCCTCTCGGCTCCACGAGGGAGCAGTAGTGTAACGCTGAGAAGGGCGAGAGCAGTTGGTCATACCCGGGGTGCAGGTGTCGGCCTGGGAACCTTTGAACCGAGACAAGTCTCCTGGTCTCCAGTCTTGGCTCAGCGCCATTAAGCATCACAACTTCCGGAAACCTGACCTAGAGTGAGGGACGCCTGAGGGGGAAGGTGGAAAAGGAACCACAAGTTAGGGAAAGGGTTGGAAATCGACGATGTACACCTGCAACTTTTGCAAAGGTTCTGTCCCCTCGAGCATTGGCCTGCGGGGCCAGAGCATCCCTCTTAGGGGGGAACCTCATTGACTCCTTGAGTCATCCAACTGGGAGCCCAAAAGGCCCGCGTCACCTCCTCCACCGAGACGAGAGTGGGAAGGCAGGCGGCGTCACCGACACGCCTCTGCCAGCCGGGATCTAGCTGTGCCTGGCACCTCCCCGCAGGGCGCACCTAGGCGGGTCCATCGGTGCCGGGGACAGGGGTGTGGACCGGCAGCGAACAGGTGCGCGGCAGGGCCGGCTCCTCTCGGCAGGTGCAGCACCCCCAGAGGGTCTGTCTTCAGGGAGCACGGTCCTAGCAGCTTTGGCCAGAGCAGCAGGTGGCTGCACCGGTCGCCTAGAATGTGGGCGCCTCCTGGCTAAACGGTCACTTGGTTCAGGCCCTGGGGGCAGGAGCGCACCTGAGTCAGCCCACTTCCGGGGAGGGAGGCCCGCAAGCCCCTCCTCTGCCACCCACCCCCAAGCCCAGCCCCGGGGCTCCCACCCTTGTGTACCTGGGCGGATCCATTCCTGGGAGTGCACAGGGGGTGGAGTGACCCGGAGAGCCACCGCGCACTGGGTCAGTTGTCCCGGGAGAGCCGAAGGCATGAGTTTCGTCCAAGTTTTTTTTGTAGGCTAGAACTCCTGCAGGGTGGGGAAAATGGACTTGGATTAGGGGCCGGGCGGAGCAACTACCCTTCTCGGCCTTGGTGCTCGCCGCGCCCCCTACTCTCGGGATACTTGGGAGGGGACGCGCGGGCTCCGTCGCTGCTAGACGGCCGCGATGGCGCCGGCGCCCAGCGCGCGTGCTGGGGCGCCTGGCTACCGCCCGGCCACTATACTCTTCGTGTGGCTCTTTCTCATCATTTACTGTCCAGGTAAGGATTGGGGGTACCCAGTGCTGTGAGACGGCGGGAGGGCACTACAGGGGGTGGATGGAGGGCTGCGGTTTTCACCGGTCCTGGAGGAGCCGGAACCAAGAGACCACCGATTCCCACCTGGTTGGGGAGACCCCTGTGTGCCAGAGGAAGGGAATTTCTTCTATTGGCGTGTCCAGCCCGCTCCTCCGCCTTTGTTAGAGATAACAGGAAGTGAAACTCGGGAAACTCTGGGGATCCAGAGTTTCACTCCCTGTAGGGAGAATGGGACCCTTTGTGGGACAGGACCAAGGGCCCTCCGATCATGGGAAAAGCCAGGCATTGGGAACTTGGGCACACCCCGAGATTTCTGAGTGTTGGGGTAACGGGGAAAGGGCACTCCAGGACTACTAGATCAGATGTTTCCTGAAAGAAGAGATCGAGAAACAGTGACCTGGCCTGGAATGGGTGTGGAATTGGGGACTCCCCACCCACATCCCGGGTATCAGTAGGGTGGACTTTTGAACCTCTAACCATCCTACGCTGGCCCGCGCTCCCCTACATTGAATGTTGGCTCAGGTGGGAGCTGAAGGGTTCTGTCTGCGTTTGGGTGTGCATTTTAAGGAGTCTCTGGGTAGGGAGAGATGGGCGGAGTATTCCAGGGACCTGGCCCGTGGGGCTACGTAGTTATCACTTTTCAGTCCCAAGGGTGTATAAAATGGGCATATCCAATCTGCCTCACCAGTCTAAGGGATTAAGGAACAGTATGCCAGGTGCTGGGGGCGGGGGCGGGGCCACACAGTGTCAAGTGGTGTGGCTCCTTGCTGTGTGGTTCCCCACTGGGCTGATCCTCCTCTTTTTCCCAGCCCCTGCCAGCACCATCCAGGTGACTGTGTCTGACCCCTACCACGTAGTGATCCTGTTCCAGCCAGTGACGCTGCCCTGCACCTATCAGATGAGCAACTCAATCTCATCCCCCATCGTGATCTGGAAGTACAAGTCATTCTGCCGAGACCGAGTTGCCGATGCCTTCTCCCCCGCCAGCGTGGAGAACCAGATAAATGCCCAGCTGGCTGCTGGCAACCCTGGCTACAACCCCTACGTGGAGTGCCAGGACAGTGTACGCACTGTCAGGGTGGTGGCCACCAAGCAGGGCAATGCTGTGACCCTAGGGGACTACTACCAGGGCAGGAGGATCACCATCACAGGAAGTATGTGGGGCAAGGCGGGAGGAGCCTGCTGGGTGGTGGGGGTGAGTGTTTGAGTGTGTCCGTGGACTAATGAAGGGAGGGATCCTTCCAGTTACCAACCTGTCCTTCCACTCATCCATTCACCAATTCCTCCACCTATCCATTCATTCACCCACCCACATATCCATTCACCCACATGTCACCCATCGCCCGTCTATCCTTCCATCCCATTAGCCCACAATACAGCCCCTACTATATACCAGGTTTACTCCAGGCTCTGCGAAGAACGCAAGTAAAACCATCAAGCCACTCTCCTATGGAGCTCAGGGTGTGGTAAGAGAGACTGACTCAACATAGTGTAAAAAGCTTGCAGATTTAAAACAAACAAAAACCTAGTGGGGATTCATTTTATAATTAATAGTAAAAATGCCAACAGTAAGAAATAATACTTCAGCCAGCTGCGGCGGTTCGTGCCTGTAATCCCAGCACTCGGGAGGCTGAGGCAGATGGATCTTAAGTTCAAGACCCACTTGTGCTATAGTGGGGCCCAAGGCCTGATTCATATTTACCTGGAGTGGATTAACGCAGGTAGACCACACAGCAATGGAGGGACTCTGTTCTATTATTGTCATTTTAGAGACAAGTGGCTTGCTGGGAGTTACACAATTGAGAACAGCTGTGACCTAACTCTACCATTGTAGGCCTAGTGTGCAATTATTCATTCATTCGTTCGTTCATTCATTCATCTGTTATTCTTGTTTTCTGGTATTGCTAGAGATGGAATCCAGGGCTTGGCACATGTTAGGCAGATACTCTTACCACTGAGCCACACCCTAACCCCTTAGTGGAAGATTCTAGGCTGGGGCTCTACCACTGAGCCACATCCCCAGCCCCTCACTGGGGGATTCTAGGCAGGGGCTCTACCACTGAGCCACACCCCCAGCCCCTCACTGGGGGATTCTAGGCGGCTCTACCACTGAGCCACACCCCCAGCCCCTCACTGGGGGATTCTAGGCAGGGACTCTACCACTGAGCCACACCCCAGCCCCTCACTGGGGGATTCTAGGCAGCTCTACCACTGGATTATATCCATAGCCATTGACTTGGTGTTTATCAAGGATCTGCTATGCCCCAGGTGCTGTTGGAAGCACTGGGAATACAGTAGTAAGCCGAACAGCCCAGATCCTGTCCTGCCCTAAATTACCTTCTAGAAGTGACATTGGCCGTGAAAAGAAGACTTAGGAAGTCTGAGAGTGCTGGGCATGTGCCACACACCTGTAACCTAGCACTGGGGAGCGGAGCTGGACCAGGGCTAAAGCACCCTCGGCTGTGTAGCAAGTTGGAGGCCCGCCATTCTCAGGACGGGTTTTCCCTTTTGGTTTGTTTTGGTTTTCTGAGACAGGGTTTCTCTATGGCTTTGGAGCCTGTCCTGGAACTCACTCTGTAGACCAAGCTGGCCTCAAACTCACACGAGATCCTCCTGCCTCTGCCTCCTGAGTGCTGGGATCAAAGGCGTGGGCCACCAACGCCCGGCTGAGAGGATTTTTTTTTTTTTTTTAAGTATGGGAGTTTTCATATAGTTGTACAAATCCAAAGAGAACATTTGGTGGTGTGTGTTGAACAACTTGGAATGCCATCTTGGCCAGTGTGATCGAAGACTCCAAAGGGCAGAGGACAGACAGAGGGACAGCAGCAGGCCAGGGGTTCCCAGGTAATGGATGTATCCATCCATTCTTTGCCTTACAGGGTTGGCTTTAAATTCTGTGTGGGTGCACAGGGGACGAGATGACTAGTTGCAGATCCCTGGAAACCAGGTTGTAGAGTATGTCCTCTCCCCATCAGGCCACAGATGAAAGATCGGTCCCAAGGAATCGGGTCTTGAGGAATTGCCTTGAATCTCCATGGAAACTCTCCTCAGTTTCCAGCTGCCCTTGAAGTCGGGGAGAGGTTGGGTTCCTTGGGGGTAATCGCTCAACCTTGATCAGGATAACACAAATACAGAGACTGTCCTTGGAGGCTGGCTGGACCTGCGTCTGCTCTGAGGGACGCAAAAACTCGGGAATGTCTATCAGGAAATAAATACCCTGGGGGACCTCATGACCCAGAGACCTCAAAGACAGAGTCCCCAGCTGGCTGATTTCAGGTGTGGTAGTTAAGACGCCATCCTTTCAAAGGTCCAAGTAGCCATGGGAACTTCCTTCCTCTTCAGCTCTTGGGCATCCCTAGGGTCACCCGCCCTCCTGGCGTTTAAGAGTGAACGTGAGTGTAGCCTGTTCCTCACTACTCAGGAGGCTGAGGCAGAGGGGCAGAAGTTCAAGGCCAGCTGGGCCACTTAGCGGAAACCCTGTCTCCAAAAGTGAAGAGTAAAGGGCTGGAGGTACGGCGGCACCTGTCTAGTAAGGGTAAGGACACGGGTCCCCAGGGACTGCAAAAGAGAAGAGGGATGGCAGAAATAGTGTCAGTCCTCCAGTGTCTCTCCCACTCCTGCTTTGGGGGTCTGGGGTGTTTTATCGGAGGCCCTAGTGTTAACCTCTCCGGGCTGCTTGGAGCCATGTGCCCCCACTCTGAGCAGCATTGACTAGGACCCTAAGGACTTGAAATCATGATGCTCCCTCTGCTGTGTGCCAACAGGAGTCAGGACGTAGCCATAGAAGAGCCCAGCCTCCGTTCCCCGCTGGAGACCAGTACCTTGGCTTTCTCACCTCACACAAGCAATCAGTACCCAGTCCCTGTGAGGGGGGGGGGCAGCAGTGACCAGGAACAGGGTGTGCCCCACAGGAAGGAGGTGGGCCCAGGCCTCAGGAGTGATCAAAAGAAGCCGGAAAGCTTACTGTTCATGGGCTCTGAAAACATCGGATGGGCCAAATACAATACAGCGGGGCCCAGATCTGGTCCTGGAGGCCCTTGGTTTTAATGTCTGGCTTATGTGATCATTTCCTGTGGCAGGGGGTTCCTGTTCACTCCTTCGTCTTTGGGCAGGACCTGCTGTATTGTGCGTGGGTCAGGGGAGAGCAGTCAATCCACAGACCCATGGGAGACAAAACAACCAAGTGGGTACCATAGCCAGTGGACCTCCCTACCAGCCAATCCCATGAATCCAGGGACCCCTTGTGCTATGTCCAAGAGCGTTAACCGTGGGCGCCCCAACACTTACTGTTGGATCCCAGACACTGTTGGGTCCAGGGAGCAGTACAGAAAAATTGGATATTTAGGACAGTCTTAAGTTACTGAGTTTTGAGGAGTTTGTGGAGAGATGGGGATCTGCGATGGGGGGGGCAGGGGAATCTTCGCCTAACACCAGCTCAGTCAGCAGTAGCTAGAAGGCTGACCTTGGAGGGTGAGTTGGTCTTCAGCCCTCCAAGGTCACCCTGGGCAGCCTTCCCAGAGTTGAACGGCCCCCGCTCCCACGCCTGGTACTTTCCATCTCTCCTAGGTCATGTCCTTTATACTGCTTCGCTCCACCTGGTAGGCAGTGTGCTTTAGCTCTGGTCGGAAGGATAAGCTTCCTCCAGGAAGTTTCTAGGTTCTTAGAACCTCTGAGCATCTTATTACAAAAGAACTCTTGAGACCCATTTGTGCCTGTCTTCTGTATCCCAGGCTGGCACTGAACTCAGAATCCTCCCATTTCAGCCTCTGGCTCAAGCTTCTATTTTTATAATTAGCAAATTAATGTGCGAGTTCCAGGCCAGCCTGGTCTGCAAAGTGAGGTCCTAGTGAGCCAGTCTCAAAAGGAAGAAAGTCAACCAATAAGAAATAAACATACCTTTTATGGGGGAAAAAAAAAAACCTCCCATAACTAAAAAAGAATTCTTTAAATGAGGCAAGTGGTATTGTTTTCTGTTTCTATGCATTTCCTTGGCCTGGCTCAGCAGAAGCAAGATTCTCAGCAGAAGCAGGATTCTCCAAGCAGCTTTAGTTTGCTGTGAGATTACATGGGAAATGCCTTTGAATGTTTCTGAGAGGTTAAAGCTGGACGTGTGTTAGTGCTGTAAAATAAGTGTGGCCTTGGAATTCCCTGGAAGGGCCGGGGTACCTATCCCCTGGCCACACTGAAAACCTTTGATTTCTTGGATTTTTTTTTCTGTTGTATTTGTGGGTTACTCTGTACCCCTAACTGTCCTGGAACTAGCTCTGTAGGCCTCGAACTCACAGAGGTCTCCCTGCATCTGCCTCCAGAGTGCTGGGACCGTGGTGGGCTTGCACCGTCACACCCGGCCGAACCTTTGCTTTCTAAGGAAGGGTACTTAAACACTTCTGGAGACATTCCATGCAGTTTGTTTGTTGAGGGTCAGGGGTTGAGGTGGTCTTCCCTGTATAGTCCAGGCTAGCTTCCAACCCTCCATCCTCCTGCCTTAACCTCCCCAGGGCTGGCAATCGTAGACATTGCCACCCATACCCCCAGCCTTGTTGAATGCTGAGTGAATGGATCAGGCGTTTATTTGATAACCAGGTGTCTGGAGTCCTAAGGAGAGGGATAGCCCTCCATCCCTCAGAGGTGACTGAGGCGGACTCCGGTTTTCTGCCATATTGTCATAGGTGAAGGAGTGGCAGTTAGCCCATGAGCAGGGAGTCAGGCTTCAGCACGGGAGCCATGTGAGTTGGCGTGGCCAGGGAGAGTGCTCTTCCAGATTGGGTCCTGAGTAAGGAGACAGAACCTAGCTGGATGGAGAAAGGAATCTAGCTGGAGCAGGCGGGCAGAAAGGATAGGCTGGAGGGCAGTAAGCTCGCAGGAAAGACGTAGAACTAGTGACCAGAGGAGAACATGCTAAGGGCTTTGCAGGCCTGGGGACTGTGCTTGGCATGATCTGGAAAGGGGTTTCGCTTTGTTTGTTTGGTTGTTTTTTGAGACAGGGTTTCTCTGCATAATAGCCCTGGCTGTCCCGGGACTCACTTTGTAGGTTTGGCGAACCTCGAACTCACAGAGATCCTCCTGCCTCTACCTCCCGAGAGCTGGGATTAAAGGCGTGCGCCTCCACTACCCTTTTTTGTTGTTGTTAAGGTTTATCTTTATGTGTATTGATGTTTTGTCTGTGTGAGGGGCCGGGCCCCTGGAACTGGAATTGCAGACAGCTGTGAGCCTCTAGTGTCCCGGTGGGGTCTTCTGGAAGAGCAGCCAGTGCTTTTAACTGCTGGGCCATCTTTCCAGCCCTTGGCTGCCAGGTCTTAATAGTGAAATCTTGCCTCTGAATAAATAGGGGTTTCCTTGGAGGAAGCTTTAGCCCTCAGTAGCTAAGGTCCCAGGAGGTGCCAGGTACCATGGATTTGGGCAGCCGAGGTTAACACGGGTGTGGTGGACAGATGTCATGCAGGCTCCTAAGTCCATGGGACCAGGTCATTAGGAGCCTATGGCTGAGAAGACAGCAGGCACGATTCCCCTGGGGTTCTATTGGCTGGAAGAAATGCTTACCACTAGGGCAGAGTCTCCAAGCTTCCCCGTCCTGTATTGCTGGGTGGATGAAAGGGTAGAAGTAATTAGGACCTGAGGAGTGGAGAGGAGACCGGATGTGCTGAAAGACTTTCATTAGTGGTGTGATTAGCAGGCTCCCTGCCTGGGGCTGCTTCAGACCAGAGCGTCCCCAAGCCCCAGGACTGACCTGGAATGTGGGGACTGAACGGGACAGGGTGGGCTTGGAACCGAGAATGGTGCTCCCGCACCTGTCAACACCCACTCCTCGGTGCTCCTATCTGGGATCTGGCCTAGTTAGCTTGGCTTCTTAGCTATGCGCCCAGCCTCAGGGTCTGACCAGGAAGGTGGGACTTGGGCTTTGAGACTCGGTAGGAAGGACGAGTCTGAGTTGAAAGCGCAGGAGGCACTGGAGTCACTGCCTTTGGCTGGATTAGGTCATCACTCCACACCACGTCTCACCCCAAAACCACAGTGCAGTGATGCTCACCTCCTAGGCTTGGTTTGGGCTGTTTCTGGTTTGGCAGTGCTGGGCTGAGTCAGGGGCTCTGTGCTAGGCAAACAGTGTGCCTGCCGCTGAGCTTCAGCCCTCGCCTGTGTCTGTTTATTTTGAGGTAAGGTCAGACTGTAGCTCAGACTGGTGTTCAGCTTCCTCACCTTCATGCTGCCTCACCTTCCTGGGTGCAGGATGAGCAGCTCCAGCCACCACGCCTGGCACCCAGATGGTTTCAGATAACCCATGTTTGGTGTTCAGAGCAGTACCATCAAAAGTAGTATGCTCTCGCAAGAATGGTTTCATTTTAGCTGGGTGAGGTAGTGTCTGCAATTCCAGCACTTGGGAAGCTGTGTTTGGGAGGATTTCCAATTCAAGGCCAGCCTGGGCTACATAGTGAGATACTATATTAAACAAAAGCCTGGTGATTTAGTTCTTATTTCATGTATGATTTTTTTTTTTTTTTTTTGCCTGTGTGTATGCCTGTGCACCACCATGTGTGTGCCCAGTGCTTGGGGAGGTCAGGGAGGGTACCGGATCCCCTGGAACTAAAATTACAGATGGTTGTAAACTCTCGCGCGGGTGCTAGGAACTCAGCAAAAGCAAAGAATGCTCTTAACAGATGAGCCGTTTCTGCAGTGCCAAATAATGATTTAATTTTTACTTGACTCACTTGCAGCCCCTTCCCACGATGTCGGGGGTTTGGGGGAAAGGGTCAGACGGACACTCGACACTCCTATTGATCTAAGGAACACCCTCCCCTGAGGTGTCTTCATGCTGTCTCCTCCTGACACAGATGCTGACTTGACGTTCGAGCAGACGGCCTGGGGGGACAGTGGGGTGTATTACTGCTCTGTGGTCTCAGCCCAGGATCTGGATGGGAACAACGAGGCCTATGCAGAGCTCATTGTCCTTGGTGAGTGTAGTGGGGCTGGGTTCAGAGGGCCCTGGGGTGGGGGGGCTGGTCCTCCTTTTGTCCACTCTTGTGTGTTCACCCTCTGTCATCCAGCTGCCGTGCTGGGTCCTGTCGCCTGCTTGCTCCCCTTTGGGGCACTGCCAGTCACTTGGGCTTCTCTGTGCCTTGCACCCCAGACAGAACCCTTCCCTATATTCAAATCAGCCAGCGTCAATGTGACGGGAACTGAGGGGTCCGCTGGTCCCTGACTCTAAAACATACGGATGGAGCCAGGTGCCCAGGGCTTTTGGTCCCAGCACTTGGAAGGCAGAGGCAGATGCGTCTCTGTCTGAGGACACCCTGGTCTACAAAGCGAGTTCCAGGGTAGACCGATCTACAAAATAGAGAGACCCTGCCCCAAAACAAAAAGTAAAAGGTGGGCAGGGTTTATCGGCAGTAAGAACTTCCTTGACTGTGGGGGTTGGGTTGTGGGTTCCTTCTGGGGAAACAGGAGCGCTCACACAGAATATAGAATGTAACCTTTCCATGGCTCAAGGTTACTTAGAATAGCGGATAAAGCAAGTGTGTTACGGTGCAAGCTGTTACATTGTTGCTGAGAGGGTAAGAGTTAAGAAAACAATTCCGGGCATGTTTGATAAGGTGTATTCTGAGAGGGTGGTGGCCCATGCTGGATTCCCTGCGCTTGGGAGGCTGAGTTAATACCATCAAGAGTTCTAGGCCACTCCTAAGCTACTTTTGGTCCCTTTTGGGACAGCCTAGGCTATATCAATTTAAAGTTAGTCGTAGCTACACAGTGAATTTCTAGCTAGCCTGGACTACATAGTAAGACCTGTTTTAAAGGGGAGCGGGGGATTTTTCTTTTTCTTTTTTTTCTTTTTTTTTTTTTTGGGTTGTTGTTTTTTCAGGATTTGTGGAGTTTTTCATGGAACTCTGTAGATCAAGCTGGCCTCAAACTCACAGAGGTCCGTAGTTTTATGTATTGTTTTGCCTACATATATGTCTGAGTCAGGGTACCATATCCCCTGGAACCAAGAGTTATAGATAGTTGGGAGCTGTCATGTGGGTGCTGGGGAATTGAACCTGGGTCCTCAGGATGAGCAGCCAGTGCTCTTAAACCACTGAGCCATCTCCCCAGCCCTGGGGACATTTTCTCTTGGGTATTTTTCTGTGTATTCTGGATCTGGAAGGCAACTTGTATAACTGAGGTTGGGCTAACCTCCGGTCACATTCCCAGGGCCACAGTGTACCATGAGTCCTTTGTGCAAACACAGAAATTTGTCTTCTGTCCTTGTGGGGGGTGGTGTTGTGGGTGACTTAGGCAGTGTGTGGAAATTGGAGTGTGTCTAAAACAAAGCAGATGGCAGGGACAAGGTAGAGTGTCCCCAGGGTCTCCAGTCTGGCCAAGTGGTTTCCTTGCCTGGGCCAATCAGAAGCCACTCTGTAATCTTGCATGGCATGTGCTGGCTGTGAGAGAACCCTTGGTTGTGATTGCTGTCCTCGTGTGTGAGCAAATGCATGATGGGAACAGGTCCAGAGAGGGCTTGAGCCATAGGACAAAGGGCAAGTGGTGGAATCCACTGTCCAGTCACCTAGGCTTTATTGGCATGTGCCATCAACAGTTCTCGGAGCTACTCAGGGTCTCACAAGTTTTGTGCCATGTTTGTGGTTTACAGCTAGTTGCTTATCGTGTTAAAATTGAACTAGGAACTTTTCGGAATCAGGGTCTCACTATGTAGCTCAAATTGAATCGGAAAGCCTCCTGTATTTCCTCCCTCGAGTACTTAGGTTATAGTATGTGCCACGCAACTGGCTGAAACTGAAGTTTTTAAATCCCAAGTAACTCGACTGCACAACATTAGCCACTAAGGTGTTGCTGGTGTGTCAGGGCAAACCCCAGCTGTGCCCTCGGGGAGAGGAGAGTGAGTATACCTAGTGTCATGTGGCCTCTTGAACTACACGTTGTTTGGGGTTTTTAATTCATTTCTCGTTTGTTGTGAGCCTGGGTCTCATGTAATCTTCAGTTCATTGTGTAGCTAAGGCTGGTTGAACCTCCTGTTATCCCTGCCTCAGCCAAGAGGACACCCAGCTTCCAGGTGCATGTGCTCTGGAGGTGTGTTGGCGTGGAATCATAGTTTCCTGTGTGTATGTGTGCACGCGAGCACGTGTGCGCACTCTCATACTTTTTAACAAGTAATTTATTTAACTGTATTTATTGGTGTAAGGGTGTCAGATTCCCTGGAACTGCAGTTACAGACAGTTGTGAGCTGCCATGTGGTTGCTGGGAATGGAATCCAGGTCCTTTGGAAGAACAGCTTACCTGCTGAACCATCCATCTCTCCAGCCTGTCTCCCCCACCCACCCCACCCCGGGCACCCCTGTGATATATTTGTGGGGCACAGGACCTCCATGGTACCTGGGTCTTAAAACTTGCATATGTGAATAGACCTCAAACCTTCCTGGGTCACAGACTCAGGACCATATATATGATTTTAATGTGCCTTCATGGCCCCTTACTACATTGGAAAGAAATATTGTGAGCTAAAGGGTAGCTGGGTGGTCCTGGGTTCAACCCAGCACTTCAAATATATATTTGATATATGGTGTGTGGGTATGTAGTATTTCAATTATGTTGCTGTAGAGATAATTCATTATGATATATTTGGTATTATAATTTTTTCATATTTGACTATGCAAAATTTAACTTTTATATAATCTTTATTCTTTGATAATTTCATACAAGTATACAATGTTTGGCTGTATGCATGCATATCCCACAGCTCACTTCCAATTTGCCCCAGACACCCCCAACACACTCCGCTCCCAAGTTCCCTTTAAAAAAACTACTTGAGTTCTGCTGTTGTTGACTGTATCTGCTCATGGGTGAGGGACCGTCCACTGGGGTACGGGCAAACCTGCGCTGTGGCCACATCCCCAAAGAAAAACGACTGACTTCCCCAGCAGCCATAAGTTGCCTAAAGTTCCTCATTTTGAGTCCTGGGTGTCGGCTCCTGCCTGTGATCCAGGAACTCGGGAGGCAGAGGCAGCAAGATTGCTCCAAGTTCAAGACCAACTTGAACCACCATGAGAGACCTTGTTTCAAAGCAAACAATAAGCCATTTTTGGTGGTCTCTAGAATATACCTACCATGCCTGGCCATACCTGTGTAGGGGGAGGTGAGTGCCAGGCTGGGGTCAAACCCTTCAGATGGAGCCCTTGTGGCAGGGTGGAAGGCATAGACTTCCAGCCAGGACTGTCCTAGGTCACCATTGTCTCCGTCTCTGCTCAGGGCATGGTTTCCACTGACGGGTTGAAGCTGGCTGTTCTTAAGGGTGGTGGCTTTGGCTGGCCAGGGCCAACATAATTGTGTTTCTCTTTTGTCCCTCCAGGCAGGACCTCAGAGGCCCCTGAGCTCCTACCTGGTTTTCGGGCGGGGCCCTTGGAAGGTATGGGGTGGACCGCCTGGTAGAGCTTCTCTTGGGGAAAGCCCTGGCAGATTGCTTGTTTCTAGTACCCTCCCTACCCCCTAATCACTTCTTGCTGTGGACCTCCACTAAACCTGCCCCATTCTCTGACATCTAGTGGCCTGGCTGTGGGCTTGGGGAGGCCTGGGCTGGTTGAAGAGGTTCTGGGGTGTAGGCAGGGGACTCGAGTGACTGGTGCCTGCCGTGTTCTGGGGTTCGGGTATGGGCTCTTTACCTCCTGAAAGCTGCTTCTTGTTTATGTTGCTCCAGCCAGACTCCCTCTCGCTCTCTGCTTTGTCTGAACTCAGGATATGGTCTCTTGTGTGTGTGGGGGGGGACTTGACCTGGATGCAGTGGGGTTGGTGTTCCTCTGTTGCTGTGCCTTAGTCTTGGGCACAGAGAACCAAGCGGTAGTTGCAGGTTCTCTGAGGAGCTTTGCAGCTAGTCCCTTGTCCTAGAGCTGGGTCCACAGCACTGTGGAGCCTGGGTGCCCTGCCTGTCCCGTCCGTGTGTTATGGCTCAGGCCTCCCAGCTCAGGGCCTGCTCTCCTTCCTCTGCAGATTGGCTCTTTGTGGTCGTGGTCTGCCTGGCGGGCCTCCTCCTCTTCCTCCTCCTGGGCATCTGCTGGTGCCAGTGTTGTCCCCACACTTGCTGCTGCTACGTCAGATGTCCCTGCTGCCCAGACAAGTGCTGCTGCCCCGAGGCCCGTAAGTGCCCCCCCCACTTCCGCTGGAACTGCACTGGGCACATCAGCCTGCCCTCCAGGTCTGGAGACTGAGGCACTGTATACAGCAGGCCACGTAGAGCCTGATGGTCTCTGGTATCAGTCACTTACCTCAGCTTTTCATTTCATTGATTTTGAGACCTCTCTTTGGTGTTGGGGATTGAAGCAAGGGCCCTGTGCAGCTAGGCAAAACCCTGCCACTGAACTACAGCCCCAAACTCTTTAGTTTTTCTTTTGAGAGGATAATTTATGGCTGTGGCTCAAAAACAAGGCCACCAAAAGCAATAGTGTCCAACATTACGAAATATTATTCACAGGAAAGTAAAGCTCCCTTTAAAAACAAAATCCGGGTGGGTGCATCAGTCTTCCTAGGCAATCCCAGCACTTTAGGAGAGTAGAAACAGGAAGATCTGAAGTTCAAGGCTAACCTCGGCTACATAGGAGCCTGTGTCAACAAACAACAAAAACCTCAGGTGGGAAGGGAAGACACTAAGCAGGTGTGGGGCGCACCATTCTAGCCAGTTTCACACAACACAAAACCACTCAAAACTGCTCATCCCACGTAGGGCCTCTGTATTCAGACGTGGCCCCCACAGGCAGGTGGACGCCTGCAGAGGGCTGGGGATAGAACTGGAACCAGACAAGAGGAATGCATATAGGTAAAGCAGGGGGAGAACAAAGTGGTAACTCCAACCCCCTGTGCCCCTCAGGGGACAAGCTGCTGGCCCTTTCGTTTTCGGGGGGGGGGGGCATTTGGCTAGCTCTGTACCTTGGTGCAGGCCCACAGAAAAGGACAGGCCAAATGGCTGATGCAGTTTGTGGCAGAGCTCTGCACAGCATTTGGTGGGGCCCACATAGCATGTTCCTTACCGCTCCTGTTGGCTGTGGCCTCTGAGCCATGTTCCCTTCCCTGTTAAAGGACTATTGTGAAGGTGCCCAGGGTGAGCCTGCTAACTATATGCTTGAACTACTGCTCTCACGGAGGAGCCTCTGCTGTGTGTTATTGATTGCTAGCGTGGGCTGTTAGTCCATTTTACAGATGTGGAGGCTGAGTCCCAAGACATTTCATCCATCTAGACTCTAGTGTCACATGCCCACAGACTGTCTCCCCCATGGGAGGCTCTCAGGAAGTACCACCCCCTACTGCTAATTACAACCCAGCCAGTCACCTACTAATGAAGGGGCTCCTCATGGGCAGAGCTGAGTAAGCGTTTTTAATTTTCTGCTTCCCAGTCAGAGGAGCAAGGAACCTTCGAGCCAGTAGGAGGGCCGGGGGACTTTTGCTTTGAGCCCAGGCCCTCAAGCTCAGTTAGACCTACATTCCTGGGCCTCTTTTTCTTACTTTGAGACAACATCTGGCCTTAAAACTCTGTAGACCTTTAAGACTGGAGAGATTGGCCCAATGTGGTATTACACGCCTTTAATCTCAGGAGGCAGAGGCAGAAGGAGCTCTGTGAGTTGAAGCCAGCCTGGTCCATGCCAGGCAGCCATAACTGCCTATGACCTTAGCTACAGGGTATCTTACTCCTCTGGCTTCCCCTGGCACCTATGCTCAAATGCACAAACCCGTCACCCACCACACATACACAAATGGAAAACAACAGAAGTCAGTCAATCTTTAAAACAGAAAACTCCAGGAATCCAGAGCCGGTAAGATGGCTCAGTTAGTAAAGGCACCTACTGCCAACCGCGATACCTGGAGTCAGATCCCTGGGACCCACGTGGTAGGAGAGAGCAGATTTCTGCAACTTATCCCCTGACTTCCACACACATGCTGTGGCACACATACAATAATGTAAATAATGATAATACAGTCAGAAATCCCTTTAGCTCTGATAGGCCTTGAACATGCTGTAACCCTCCTGCTTCAGCCTTAGGTAGCTGGTATTATAGGCCTGCACCACCAAGCAGGCAGGATCCAGTGAACTGAGTTAGGAATTGCCACCAGGACCCAACCTCCAGCCTGAGAAGGATTTACCCTTGAGCTGTTAAGCTAGAATCGAATGGGTGGGTAGGGTGGGTGTGGCCAGCAGTTGGAAACCCTGTAGGTATGTAGTACTCCAGGGTGCAGGCAAGACAACTTCATCTGACCCCAGTCATGACTTTTCTACAGCATGGGCTAGGCTGCTCAAGGAGGCTACCCCAGCTTATGGAGACAGTAGTGGGCCCAGAACGGGTGTGTGTGTGTGGGGGGGGGGGGTTTCTCTAAATTGAGTGACTTTGTCTATTATTGCCTTTAGGCGCAAGCCTATCAGTCTTAGTTTCTATGATGGCTGAGGCAGGAGGTTCAAGGTCTGTCTTGGTTACAGAATGAGTTTAAGATCCTTCTGAGTCACTTAAGAAGCCCTATCACAAGACAAAAGGGGGGGGGGAGGAAGATGGCTCAGTGGTAAAACACTTAACCTTGGAAGTATAAGGTTCTGGGATCCTTTCCCAGTACCAAAACAGACAATCAGCCTGGAGTTTCACATGGGAACATTTCCATTGCTGTCAAATAACTAATGTGCAGATAGGGGCCCTGACCTACCAGTGTGCACCCCTATTCTCAGAACTCCATGTGAAGTCAGACAGGAAGTGTGGACTCGCGTCCCCTAACTCACAGCATTGCAGGAATGAGATGAAGGGGGCAAACTCAGCCCCCCCCCCAGTTCCAGCACGGGACAGCATAGCTTCTGATCACCTTTCTGTCCAATTTGCCCTCCCAGTTTATGCTGCTGGCAAAGCAGCCACCTCAGGTGTCCCCAGTATCTATGCCCCCAGCATCTACACCCACCTCTCTCCTGCCAAGACCCCACCACCACCACCTGCCATGATTCCCATGGGCCCTACCTACAGCAGGTACCCTGGAGACTTTGACAGGAACAGCTCAGGTAAGGCCTGGGGGGAACCAGACAGGGTGGGGTAGGGCTGGAGGGGAGCATGGGAGATTGGGGGTCCCCTGCTTTTGCTCCCAAGAGCAATCGCTGACCAATGATCTCTACTAGTCGGCGGCCACAGCTCCCAGGTACCTCTGATGCGTGATATGGATGGCAGTGTGTCTTCGGGTAAGAACCTGTTTTGATATTGAATGTGCCTGGAGAGTTGGTCCACATGCATGCACCACGCCCACCCCTCACCCCAAATCAATTGCCATGTTCTTCTGTTCCTCTCCTCAGAAGTACGAAGTGGCTACAGGATACAGGCTAACCAGCAGGACGACTCCATGAGGGTCCTATACTACATGGAGAAGGAGCTAGCCAACTTTGACCCTTCCCGGCCTGGCCCCCCTCCCAATGGGAGAGTGGAACGGGGTGAGCTGCAGATATGAGTCTAAGAGGGATGAAGTATGCTTGCTATGGATCTTACACTCCTCGCCTCCTGTGCTGGGGGGGTGGGTAATGGGTGACAAGGGTGAGCCTATCTTAGTACCAGTGACATCTCCCTTCTCTACAGCCATGAGCGAAGTCACCTCCCTCCATGAAGATGACTGGAGGTCTCGGCCTTCCAGGGGCCCTGCCCTTCCCTCAATCCGGGATGAGGAGTGGAATCACCACTCACCTCGGAGTCCCAGAATGTGGGAGCAGGAACCCCTTCAAGAACAGCCAAGGGGTGGCTGGGGATCCGGGCGGCCCCGGGCCCGCTCTGTGGATGCTCTGGATGACATCAACAGGCCTGGTTCCACTGAATCAGGAAGGTCTTCTCCCCCAAGTAGTGGGAGGAGAGGACGGGCCTATGCACCTCCCAGAAGTCGCAGCCGGGATGACCTCTATGACCCCCATGATCCTCGAGACTTGCCACATTCCCGAGACCCTCACTACTATGATGACTTAAGGTCTAGGGACCGCCATGCTGACCCCAGGTCCCATCAGAGATCCCGGGACCCTCGGGATGCTGGCTCCAGGTCACGGGACCCTCATTATGATGGGCGACTTTTAGAAGAGGCCTTAAAGAAAAAGGGGTCTGGGGAGAGAAGGAGACTTTACAGGGAGGAAGAGGAGGAGGAAGAGGAGGGTCGCTACCCCCCAGCACCTCCACCTTACTCAGAGACTGACTCGCAGGCCTCGCGGGAGCGGAGGATGAAGAAGGTGAGCCGGGACCCTCTGACTTCGGCCCTCCACCCCCTTCTCCTACAGCCCGTTCGGCTCACACTTCTTCTTTCCTCCTTTTACAGAATTTGGCCCTGAGTCGGGAAAGTTTAGTCGTCTGATTCCACGTTTTGTATGTAGCTTTTATACTTTTTTTTTTTTTAATCGGAGTACTGATGAAACTCTTCTTCACCAAGCCTAATAAAACACCTAATCACAAGTTCTAAGCGTCTGTTTTGTTGTGCGAGGTGGAGGGGGGGGGGTGGGAAGAACCACACAGGCCTTCTGCCTTCTCCTTGGCCTGCGGCCTGGAGTACGTGCCCCATGCCGCCTCCGCCCTGCCCCGCCCCGGCGTGCGCATGCGCCCCGCGCCCGGGAGCGCGCGTGTGCGCGTGCCCCGCGCCCCCCCCATCCTCTGGGTTCCCCGACGACCTACTTTACAGCCTTCAGACCCCGTGACCCCGGCGATCTGAGCCCCGCGTCCGCGTCGCCAGGCTCCACCGTGGCCCGCGTTCCAGCCCGCGGTGGTCCCCGCTGAGTCCCCGGGCCCAGGCGCGCGCGCGCCCGGCCGCCACCGGAGACAGACAGCGCGCGCGTCCCCCGGGGCCTGCCCTCCCCCTCCCCCGCGCGCGCGCGCCCGCCCGCCCCGGGATCGCGCCGTCGCCACCACCACGCGCGCGCAGCTCCAGTAAAGGAGGCAAAAAAAAAAAAAAAAAGGGAAAAGGAGAAAAGGGGGGGGGGGTAAGATAGAAAGCGGCGGCGGCTGCAGCCACGATCCGCCGCCGGACCGGGCCAGGCCGGGCGGCGGGCGGGCGAGCCGGGGATCGGGGGCCAGGGCGGCCGCCATCCAGGCTGGGCCGTGTTTAAAAAAAAAAAAAAAAAAAAAAAAAAAGCTCAAGTCGCGGCGGCGGCGGCGGCGAGCGCTCAGGGAAGCAGGCCCCAGGCCGCGTGCGGCGGGCGGACGGACGGGCGGACCGGCGGACGGGCGGGGGGCAGCTGAGCTGCGGCCCGGAGCCCCACACCGCCCGGAGCCGGCGGAGGCGGCGGGAGGCGGCGGCGGCGGCTGCAGGAGCGGCGGCGGCGGCGGCGGCGGCATCTCCTCCTCACATGACCCCACTGTTTGTCCCCGTGATCAGCGCGAGCGGCTCCCGTGTCTCCTCCGTCCCCTCCTGCCGCGCGGCGTGAGCGCCGGGCTCGGGCCCCCCCGGCCGCCCGCCCCCTCCCCTCCCTCCCCTCCCCTCCCCCCCCGCCCCCCCCATGGACATGCTGGACCCGGGTCTGGATCCTGCTTCCTCGGCCACCGCTGCTGCCGCCGCCAGGTAAGCGCGCCGGCGCCTCGCGCCCCTCCGCGCGCCCTGGGCCCCGGCCCCCTCAGCCCCGGCGCGCGGGGGCCGCCATGATCCCGAGCGGCCTCCGGGCCCGGCTCAAAATGGAGGCGGCGGGGAGGGGAGCCGGGCGGGGGCCCGGCGACGGTGGCGGCCCTGGAGGGCGGGCGGCGGGCCGCTGCGCCCCGGTAGGGGTGCGGGCCTCGCTGACCCCGGGCCCTGCCCCTCGTGTGCCCCCGCAGCCACGACAAGGGAGCCGAGGCCGAGGAGGGCGTCGAGCTGCAGGAAGGTGAGTGCTCGCGGGGCCACGGGGGCTGCGGCCCGCCCGCCCGCCCGCCCGCGCCGGGGCTGCAGGCCGGGGACGCCGGGAGGCCCCGCGCGCCCGCTGAGCCTGCCCCCTGCCCTGCTGCCCCCACAGGCGGGGACGGCCCGGGGGCCGAGGAGCAGACGGCGGTGGCCATCGCCAGCGTCCAGCAGGCGGCGTTCGGCGACCACAATATCCAGTACCAGTTCCGCACAGAGAATAATGGAGGCCAGGTGAGGCGGCCGCGGCCAGGGAGCCCCGAGGGCCAGCGCCCGCCGGGGCGAGCAGAGGGCGGGCGGACGGACGCTTGCGGCGGGGCAGGGAGAGGCTCCGACCTGGCCCCTACTCGGGCCCTAGCGTCGGTCTCGTCGCTCTGCCGCCCCCTGCAGGTGACATACCGCGTAGTCCAGGTGACTGATGGTCAGCTGGACGGCCAGGGCGACGCGGCTGGCGCCGTCAGCGTCGTGTCCACGGCTGCCTTCGCGGGGGGGCAGCAGGCTGTGACCCAGGTGGGTGTGGACGGGGCAGCCCAGCGCCCCGGGCCGGCCGCTGCCTCTGTACCCCCAGGTCCCGCGGCACCCTTCCCGCTGGTAGGTGGCCCGCAGCTCCTGGGGAGGGGCTGGGGGGGGGAGGGAAGCCCCAGGGGGTGGGGTAGGAGACGCAAATGATGCTCTCTAGGCCGCCAAGCCGTGTAAGGTTGATGTTTTGCACGGACAGTGGTCAAGTCTTTTGGATTTTTTTTTTTTAAATCTATAAAACGGGAAAAGAAAAAAAAAAAAAAACTTAGAGAAAAAAGTAGAGTAGCTGAGCTAGGGACAGTGAGTCCCGTCAGAGGTGAGATGCTAGACAGGATGGTACGCACAGCGGGGCTTCTTCCTCCCCTCACAACATAGTAAATAAACACCAATCCCCACCACAAAGGTTTGGGTCACAGGGGTGTCTAAGGATGGCCTGTGTCCTCTTCCCTAGGCTGTAATTCAAAACCCTTTCAGCAATGGTGGCAGCCCAGCCTCAGAAGCTGTCAGCGGGGAGGCACGGTTTGCATATTTCCCAGCATCCAGTGTGGGAGATACCACAGCTGTGTCTGTGCAGACCGCAGACCAGAGCCTGCAGGCCGGAGGTAAGGGGAGGAGGGGGAGCTAGGGAAGTCACTTAAGCAGTCCCCTTTGACCCCTTACTTACGCTCCCTGCACATGTCCTGCAGGCCAGTTCTACGTCATGATGACACCCCAGGATGTGCTTCAGACAGGAACACAGAGGACAATTGCACCCCGGACACACCCCTATTCTCCGTATGTGCTGTAGTCCCGTTGCTGGGGGCCTAGGAAAAGGACGGGTCTTTTATTTTGGCCTAGCCCCTGGGCCTGTCAGTATACAGCAGAAGTTGGGTATGGGTTCTGTTAGCTTGTTTCTGGAGTACAAACACAAACAAACAAAAAAGATAAATAAAACGCACCAGCTGGGTGTTGGTAGCGCATGCCTTTAATCCCAGCACTCAGGAGGCAGAGGCAGGTGGATCTCTGAGTTCGAGGCCAGCCTAGAGTGAGTTCCAGGATGGCCTCCAAAGCAATACAAGGAAACCCTATCTCTGAGAGGGAAAAAAAAAATTACATTTTCACATGGATTTACTTTGCAAAAATAATTATCATGGGCTGGAGAGGTGACTCAGTGGCAGAGCACTTGCCTGGATTTTGCAAAGCCCTGGGTTCGATTCCTAGTGCCATGAAAACAAAGGTGTTTGTCAAGTCTGATAGTTTGGTAAATACTTGAAGAGATGTGTCTAAGATAACGGATGTCTGTTATTTCCCCTTCTGTTCTAGAAAAATCGATGGAACCAGAACTCCTCGAGATGAAAGAAGAAGAGCTCAGCACAATGAAGGTAAGGATGGTGGTGTGCATTCCTTGGCCAGACCCTGGACTCCAGGGTGCTTTGAGCCCATTGCCTGGCATGTCCAGATGCCAGAGAGGTGTGTGCTCAATGCGTGGGTCAGTGCTGGTGGCTGCTGGCAGCAAGCTGTTAGGAGAGAAAGGGCATTAATTGGGTTTTGCCAGGTGTTTTCCCATGCCCAGCCTGTGATTTCTGATTGGTCTATTGGCAAACCTCTTAGGTTTTGCTGTCTTGCTCACATGTTCTTGCCCTCCATCTGTAGCTGGGCAGCCTATATGAAAAGGAAGTTGCACTTCTGGCCAGTTGAAGTCTGACCCTCCCACCCTTTCAGGAAGCTACAGTTCCACCCTGAGGTCTTTTGTCTTTTAGGGCTGTTCCTTGGTCTCTTGCCTTGATTGGTCATCAGCATTTAACAGCCCTCAAGGCAAGGCAGTTCTGACACCCAAACAACCATCACTCAACAAATATTTACTGACCCTGGATCCCAGGCAGGGCAGGGCAGTCCAGGCCCTGTGCCAAGACTGCAGGCTGGCCTAGGGGATCAGTCAGAATTGCCAGCGAAGGACGGCTTGCAGCTGAGAGATGGCTAAGGCACTAAAGTGAGGCTGCCTCAGGAAGATTTTTCTGGGTGCTTAGCAAGTAGAGGAGGACACAGGCTGAAGAGAGTCAAGTTGTTTCAAGGGTGCTGTTTGCTTGTCACTGAAGCTTTGTGTGATTTCTTCGAGACTGAACCAGGATGAAGGCCTCAGGCCCTGAGACCTGAGGGTGCTTTGATATCAGAGGGAGTAGGGGATGCTACTGTTTAAGCGGTTGACAAGCTTTTGGCCAACAAGCACACAGCCATGCTGGCCCCCATCTAGGCCTCAAGTGCAGTGGATAACAGCAGAGACAAGGGCTAGGCTCTCCCACCACTCACTGGTGGGTGACAAGCAGTTACCATGTACCCTTAGCATGCCTGAGCACTGGAAGAGAGAGCTCTGAGTGCAGCAGAACGCTAGACATGTGCTTCAGAGGCCTCTCAAGAGGTGACGTTTGAAGAGGCCTCTCAGGACCCTGAGGAGAAACAGACAAATGCTCAGCCGTAGACACTTTAAGTTTGAGGAAGAGCAGAATGGGGAAGGGGAAGAAGAAGGTTTGGGGGCTGGGAGGGGACCTGCCAGGCTGGCTCACACCTGCTCTCTAGAAGCTCTTCCCAGAGTGGTTATCCTGAGCCTGGGGTGTAGTCTGGTGATGGGGGCACCAATGTGGGGTTTGTGTAAGGAAGCAGGGTGATAGGTGATGGTAAATCAGAGACTAAGAAGTCACACGCTAGAGATGACTTCTGGGAAGGGGGAGGTCTGGTCTGAGGTGGCAGGATGTGGAGAATGGGCATAAGGAGACGATTCTGGAGCTGTTAGGTTGGGCTCTAATGCCCAGGTCAGGTGGCTTTGAAGGGAAAGGATGAACTGGGACTCTTAAGTTGGTTTAGAAGTGACGGAGGGGAATTTGAGGGTCCTCTGGCTGTTACAGTGTCCTTTGTAAAATGAACCAACACAACCCTCAGTGATCCTAAGCCCCGCACCCCTAACTCCAGCTCCCACTGAGCATGCTGCTGTTCTCCACTTCTTTCTGCCTTACCCTGGATTCAGCCAGCTTAGATGTTTTACGTCCTCCAACAAGCAGTTTCCATACCCTCCCCTCACCTCCCACCCTTCACCACACACACACACACACACACACACACACACACACACACACACACACCCTCCCCCCAGCTGCAGCCAGCCCTCTGGCTTCTAACCTGTAGAAGGTTTGAACCACGTCTGCCTGTTCCTGTGGCTTGGCAGCGTAGTCTAGCCTAGCAGACTGGCTCCATTGAAGGTCACCTGTGTCACACTCATTGCCAAATCTGCTGGCTTCCTTTTCTGTCTGAGCTCCAAGCATCTGCCCCTGCCCATTAACCCCCCCCCCCCACTGCTTTTGGGAATGTCCCCTTTCCTACTCTCTTATTCTAGTGTTCTCTTTGTTTCTCTTTTCCTACCCATTCCTGCAGCAACCTTGGGGTTCTGACTAACTGACAGAGGCGAGGCCCAGGGCTTTCTTAACAGCAGATGCCCTCAAGAACTGGGAACTGGCTTTGGCTGTGGGTACTCCTTAAAGCCAGGGTCTGAGTCCCTTTTTATCTGTTAGTAAGCTCCCGCCAGGGTTGCAGAGAAGCTCTAGTTGTCTGGCCTCTTAACTCTTAAGACTCATCCCCAGCACCAGAAGTCTTACTTCTTTTTCTCCAGAAAGGTGATAGTTGCCTCTTCCCACCTTCCTAGGTCTTGACCCACCCCATGGCAACACAAGATGGAGTTTTTACTCCTTGGCCATTGGAAATTGCCGCTCTAAATTTCTGGCTGTCCATGAGATTTCCTCCACATGTCCACACAGAGCGTGCGTCCACCCTCCTGAGGGGCTGGCTCTGTGTGTGGGGAGCTTTCAGAGCTCTGCCCTTGCCTTCCCAGGACATGAGTTTCCACAGTCCGGCTTTTCTGGGGGTTGGGGCCTCCAGAAGCTGCCTTCGGGGCCCTGAGGGAGCAGGAAAACCTTTGTTACACCAAGGGGTAGGTGGGGAGCCTGTTGTTAATGGTAACAGAATTTACCATCTCTGGTGGCAGAAATGCAGGTCTTCACACGAAACCTGACTTTAAATGCTGAGCTCGACTCTTTCTATTTGATTCATTTTCACCGTTTGTAACAGTCTTAATTTATGGTGGTGGCCTTGTGGAGAGCTCTTGGTTGACCCTGGTGAGAGCCTAGGGCCTAGACTGCTAGGAAACACTCTTATAACTATATCCCAGCCTTTCCACTTTCCTCTTTAGTCTTTTTGAGACCGTCTCACTAATTTGTCCAGGCTGGTTTTGGACTCGGAAGCCTCCTGCTTCATATTCCCTAGTAACAGGGATCCCCAAGTCTTTGCTTTTGTAAGCCCAGCACCAGTGAGGCTGAGGCAGAATTGTGAGTTCAAGGCCAGCCTGGACTACATAGTAACAACCTGCCTTACAGAAAGAACAAACAGGGGAGGGGGGCACACCTTTAATCCCCATTATGGCGGACAGATCTCTGTGAGTTCGAGGCCAGCCTGGTCTACAAAGCTACACAGAGAAACCCAACACAGGGGGGAAAAAAAAAACCTAACAAACAAACGCACTTTTTCCTATGTAAATCTATAGCTGCAGACTTTTGTGTAACTGTCCCATTTATACAAATGTTTTTATTATTATTTATATCAAAATATTTTCCAGTTCTCCCATGATTTCTTCTTTGATGTCAGGTTATTCAGGAAGCATGTTGCCCCCTTCGCAGACATGTGTGGGGCTTAGGATCTCACTTTTATTATGGTTCCAGTTACTTGAGGGTGTAGGGCTTATTGGGCTCTGTGTACAGTCTGGTTTGGAGAAGGTGCCCCGTGTACCCTCGTGGATGTGTGCCTGCTGCTGGGAAAGGTCCCCTCCACAGGGAGCCAGGCTGGCTGAGGTGCCTGGGGATTTCCGGCCTGGTGTTTTCTTGATTTTCTTGGAAAGAGACGAGCTAATGCCTCCCACTGTGTTTGTCATCTTTCAGCAGGGTGTACCGTGAGGTGTGGGTTTGCTTGTTTATTTATTTGGTTTTGGGGCCAAGATCTTTCTGTAGATCTGTAGTTTGGCTATTCTGGAACTTACTATGTAGACCAGACTCGCCTCAAAATCGCAGAGTTCTGTGCAGGCGCTGCCTCCTCTAAGTGCTGGGATTAAAGGTGTGTCCCACCACACCTGGCTGTGAGATGTGCTTTAAGAGCTGTGTTGTAACTACAGGGCTTCTGTGAGATAACGGGCCTTCTGCTGGTCTGGTATATCCTGATAGTTTTTCCAAGCCACAGGCCTAACCATATTAGCACCCGGACACAAGCTGTAGACAGCTTATGTAAAATCAACACACACACCCAAAAGTGGTTCATGTCATCTTTTGTGTGATCTTATTATCCAGCTTCCTGGGGTCCCCTTAAAGTCTCTCTGGAGATTTACCCTACTGTGGACACCATGCAGAAGGTACTGCTCCACCCTGTCCTTCCTCGGGCACAGCGTCCCCATGCACACTTCACAGTGCTGTCATGACGCCATCCATGTTTAAAGCCACACACTTCTACAGTTGGCAGAACTGAATGCAGACCTAAGGAGCCAGGCCACACACACCTACCCCAACCCCAGTGGGTTGAGGTGTGGCTGTCGGATGAGGCAGTGCCTGGTGCCTGGACTCTAGAAAAGTGGATGGTGGGCAGGTGGGGAAGTACTAAGGGAGCTCTGTAGCACCCGGAGAGCACTCTGCCAGGGAACCTGGTCCCCAGAAGATTCTACCACACTTGACAGCCAGCCCTAAGGCTAGTGCATATATATCCCTTACCAAACTCAGTGTGGCTGTCTTCTTGGCAGGACATTGGAAAGACCTCAGAGAAAGAATCATTACTGAGAAGAGGGAATGGATAGGGTGTGGGGGGGGGGGTCTGCTGTGGAAAATGAAGTCACTCATGCCAAAGTGGGAGGCTCCTGACAGTGGACTGACTAAGCAGAGGCAGTGGCCTCTACCTGTTCTGGGCCCTGAGGTCCCTTAAGGGAATGTCATGGGCAAGGTGTGAGTTCAGTTCTGAAGAGAAAGGAGCCTTCCCTCACCCACCTCTCTCCCTTAGAGTTTTCCCCGTTTTCTATCCTCAGCGCCTTCATTAGGAAATGTCCCCTTGCCCTTTTTCCATAGCCCATCAGACTCTAGCCCAGCTCCCCTCCACAAATTTGACCCTTATCTCCAGCCCTTCTGACAGCAGGAGAGGGCTATGAGGGGACTTGGGGACACGAGGGTCTTTTGTGCCGCAACAAGTTAAGGAAGGGCCAGGAAGCCTTGCTGTGAACCTGGTCCCAAGTCAGTGGTTCCTCACGGGCACCCTGAGCATATGACAGGCCATGTCCGCGGGACAGTGTCACTCGGTACAGCTAGCAGTGGGAGGTTACAGAGTTTAAAGCACAGGTCTGGACTTTGAAGTCCGTCTGTCTGTCCCTTGCCATCCTTTGCCTTCAAGGTTCACACCCTCAGGTGAGGCCTCAGAACCATAGCTCTTGTCTGGAGAGTGCGGCTTGCCAAGGCTGTGGAGGGGAATTTAAGCAGGGACAAGGCATGATCAGATTTTCTCATTGGAGATGAGAAGGGGCTGGCATGTAACTCAGGTGGTAGACTGTGGCTTCAGTTTCAGCAATGAATAAAACCAGCCTAGTGGCTACTATTTAGGAAATGGAGACAAGACGGTCAGAAGTTCAAAGTCACCCTTGGCTACACAGTTTGAGTCCAGCCTGATCTACATCTACATCAGACCCCCTCTTCCCCAGGGGACAAAAAAAATAATTAAAAAAAAAAACGAGAAAAGCAAAATTCTAGAAGCCAGAGTCTGCGGGAACATGAGAGGATGGACCCTGAGGGTCACCAGTGGCCAGGGTGTGGTGTGACACTGGCTTTTACTTGTTGGCCCCAGTGTGTGGAGTGTGCCAGGAAGGGAAGGAGACGAGCCTGCAGCTCGTTGTCAGTGTGGCCTTCTCTCCTGACAGCGTGCCTGCCACTAGAGGCTTGAGACTTGGTTGGGCTTCTCATGAAGCAATGTGGCCCCTGGGGATGTGGCAGCCTGGGGTCCCCGTGAGGTCCCTACTAGTGCCGTGACTGTCACTGCCTCCTACAGTGGAGCGGAGACGGAGGGACAAGATCAACAACTGGATCGTCCAGCTTTCGAAAATCATTCCAGATTGTCATGCAGACAACAGCAAGACAGGAGCGGTGAGTGTCCCCAGCCCCCACCCCTGGCACGGGGGCCGTCCTGGCCTCTGACTCTGGCCTGCCCCTCCCCGCTCCAGAGTAAAGGGGGCATCCTGTCCAAGGCCTGTGACTACATCCGGGAGCTACGCCAGACCAACCAGCGAATGCAGGAGACCTTCAAGGAGGCCGAGCGGCTGCAGATGGACAATGAGCTCCTGAGGCAGCAGGTGGGTGTAGAGACCTGGAATCCACTGGGCCCCGGGATGCCAAGGGCCAGCCCTGGCTCACGTTCCTCCATGGTGCCCGCAGATCGAGGAGCTGAAGAATGAGAACGCCCTGCTTCGAGCCCAGCTGCAGCAACACAACCTGGAGATGGTGGGCGAGAGCACTCGGCAGTGATACAGTGACGCCCACAGGCCCACCCTGCAGCTGCTGCCCGCCCCTGCTGCCCTCCCCAGCCCTTAGCACAGAGAGGGGATGCCCTCCCCAAGCTGCGTTTTTTATAGTAGATTTTTAACAAAAACAAGGAGACATAATGCATTTCTGTGGATACATTGCCCACTACCCTCCTCCGTGCGGAAATGATGCCCACCTGCCCACCTGCCCATCAGCCTCCCTTCTCGGCCCTCACCAGCCCATGACTTGTACTGGGCTCACCAGGAGGAGCAAGGGAGGAGGACAGAGGCCCCGCTGCCCGCTGCCTCCTTGGTCTCTAGAGGTATTGAGACAGGGTGCTTATGGGAAGGAGGGAGATTTGGGGGCGCCTTCCCTGGGGCCTGGACCTGTGCAGGGAGGCCATGTCCCCCGTCCCTCTTGTTTCTGGATCCCTGCTCCCCTCTGGGTGTGTGGGTGTGTGTGTGTGTATGCGCGCGCGTGTGTGTGTGTGTGTTTAATTTTCTTTATGGAAAAAATGGACAAAAAAATAGAGAGAGAGGTATTTAACTGCAATAAACTGGCCAGTGTGGCCCCGCCTTGTCTGTCTGTGTGTTGGTCCGAGTTGGGCGAGGGAACAGGCCGGGGTCCTAGAGTCTCCCCGAGGTCTAAGCTTCAGCTATATTGTAGCTGTGTGAAACCGCCTGGGAGAATTAAGGACTGAATTTCTCCATTGAGGCCCTGGGGAGCAGATTAGGGGTGTGGGTGCTATGGTCAAGGACGTGCCCCCTGGTGTTGGAGGGGAGGCTGGCGTCTCCTAGGTCAGGACTTCTTGAAAACAGGGTGGATGAGCATCCCCAGCTGGGGCTGAAGCCCTCCCCTCTGCACCAGCCAATGATGGGGCCTGGCCTTGAGCCCCCCACCCCCAAGGGAGGGCAGATGGCCAGCAAGCCCGGCTTGGCCCGGCAGTCTGTCGCCGGGCCTCTGGCGCCTGTGCTGTGACCCCTGCCCTTGACGGATGATGAAACCTGTCCTGAGCAACCACAGTGATGCCTGGCAGGGCTGGGGGAGACCATCATGTCCCCACGAGACGGCCTCACCTGTTCCCGAGATCCAGAACTGTCTGTCCGTTTAACTTGCACTTCAACCTTGCGCAGCCTAAGTACACCTGGCGGCCTCTGGTGTCTCGGAACCCTGTCTTTGCTCTTTCTACTCCCAGATGCTCTCTTTGAGAGAGCATGGCAAGCCAATGAAGGCCCCCGGGAGCAGCAGCAATGGAGTGGTGATGGCGGCCTCCGCAGGGCTCTACACAGGACTGACTGGGTGCTTCCTGTGTGAGTCAGGCGTGGTGTCAGGAGTCTGTCAAAGATTCCTAATGTCTCGGGCTATGCACACCAAGGGGCCCGGGTCGTAGATAGGAATGAGGACACGGCACAGGTTTCAGTAGTAACCCAAGAACCAACTAACTACAAACACTCTGCTGTGTGCTGTGTACCAATTTCTGTGGTGTAAATTCTCCCAGCATGGCAATTGAGAAGGTTATGGCCTAATTCCACTACTGCACTTGGAGTTGTGTGATGGGCATAGTCTGTGCTGCCAAGTCTAACCCACTGCTGTGCCCCTGTGCTTAGAGGGAGAGGGAAGTTTGATGAATAGATCAGGACAGACCCCTGGGGTCAGCGACCAGAAGGCAACTGTAAGCCTAAATACTAACAGAATGCAGGAGGACCACTTGGAGGCCAAGTAGCCCCAGCTGTTAACAGGAAAGTGAATTGGTACCGGTGTGAAAGGCGGTGAATTAGTGCACACTGGCGTGTGAGAATGAACTAGCTCATGCTGGGAAACACGTTGGCTCTGGCTGTGAATAATGACTGCCACCACCATAGGCAAACGGGGACTTCAACAGGACATCTACATCATGTGGTCTGGACATTGGACAGCATGGTGCAGCCTGTGCCTGGGCATCTGTCCTGACTCGTGCTGGAATGCATCCTACACATGTGTACCCCATTGCTGGGTCTTTGTGAGGAGCCACAGTGAGTGACAGCCGTACTGAAGACACTGATAAGGGGAAGACGCAATGTCCAGGGAGAAGGGAAAATTTCCAGGGCCCACAGTATGACATCACAGGTGTCTGGCTGGAGGCTTGTGTTCATGGCCCTAGCTGCCCCACCCCCTGGATGCACCTCTGCTGGCTAAGGGTGACACAACTCTGTCCCCTGTCACTCTGTTCCCGCTTATCTCTCCCGCCTGTTCGGCGCCACTATCTTCTTGGAAATGGGTCAGGGCAAAGGGGAGGGGGCTCGGGTGTCCCCTCCTCCAACTGGTCCCATAAAAAGGACTAGGACTGGGTCCTAGACACCAGGCAGGTCCTTAGACTGCACAGCAGGACAGACGGCACGATGGCACAGAGCACGAAGATCCAGGCTGCCTGCCTCCTGCTTCTCCTCGTGGCCAGCCTGGCCAGCAGCACCCTTCTCCAGCAGCTGGTGAGCACCCAAGGCCTGCTACAGCGGGAGAGCCATTCCCCGGGAGGCAGGGCTCCTCGGTTATTCAGGGCAGCTACTCCAGGGACAAGAGTGGGCCTGAGTGGAAAGGCTGTGGCATTCCCTCTAGCTGCTCAGGTCTTGTGGGAAGTGACCATGGGGAACATGCTGAAAGCCAGACTAAATGTTCCTCTGGCTGTCCCATTTCCGTCAGGGTGTTCCTTAAATTGCCTTTAAATGACTATTTGGAAAGCACCTATCTGTGGATAGCATGGAAGATGATGGGCTGAATGACCACCATGAGGAAGGACCAGAGGTGGGGCCAACGGGCAGAAAGCCAAGCCAAAGTATTTCATAAGAAAATGATGCAGAAAGGGCTGGAGAGGCGGCTCAGCGGTTAGAGCACTTGATGCTTGAGCACAGGACCCAGGTTCAGTTCCTGGCACCTACGTGGTGGCTCACAACCATCTTTAACTCTAGGCTCAGAGCATCTGATGCCTTCTGACCTTCACAGGCACTAGGCACACACATGGTGCACATGCATACATGCAGGCAAAACACTCATACACATAAAACAAATCTGTAAGAAAGAAAACGCTACAGAGCCAGACTTGGTGTGGGCACCCAGAAAATGGAGGAGGGAGAGAGGATCAGGAATCCGTAGTCATCCTTGGCTACATGGCAAGTTCAGTGCCAATGTGGGCTATGAAAACCCTGTCTCAACAACAAAGATACTAGATTTGTGCCTTGGACCTGGGTCAGCAGAATGGGCACTCAGTGACCAGGATCACAGGACCCTTGGGTCTGTAGGGTCTGATGAGTGGAGTCAGGGTTGGACCTAAGGAGGGGGTGGAGGTGGCTCTGGCGGTGCCGAGCGTTGTGGACAGCGGTGCAAATGGTGACTGCTCCTTGGGTCGCTGAGAAAGGAAAAACCACAATCCAACTGATGATGAGATAAGTTACTGTGCTTTGTGTGACCTGATTATAAGGGATAAGATGCAGGGAGGCCTGTCGGGACGGTAGTGTCCAGGAGGAGGAGGGTACAGTAACAAAGAAGGTGGGTGCTTTGACGAAGCAGAGCATCCAAGGAATGATGGGGAAAACAGGGCCGTGAGATCTCCCCTAGGAATTCCATCTAAACGCCCGTCCCTAAGCCCCTGGAGAAGGAACAAGTTGGCAGAGACACGTCAAAACTATGCTGGAGACTCAGCAATCCTCAAGTACCCTTTCTGTTTTCACAGGCGAGACAGCCTGAAGCACTGCAGCCTTGGCACAGGACAGAAGGCAGGACCGACAGGCCGGTAAGAGCACCTGGGACTCCCTCCGTGATTGCCCAGCCTTCCCCATGCCCAGGCAAGGCCGCTCACTTCTCTTCCTTTCCACGCAGCTCCTGACCCCGAAACGAATGAGGCGAGACAGCCACTTCCCACTCTGCACCTTCTGCTGCAACTGCTGTGGCAATCTTGCTTGTGGTATCTGCTGCAAAACATAGAGCCGTGTGCCCCCTCGCCCACATCCCCTGCCTGCCCTCCGCCCAACCCCCACTTATTTATGAGTTTGAAATAAAGGTAGCGATTTTACTTTCAGACTATAGTGTCCGTTATTATTTTCCCCTCGTCAAAGGCTTATGGACTTGTTGTAAGCCCTGCCACCCGGGGACAATCACTCGGTAGGATGTGCAGGTCTAATGCACTGAGACTGCTAGAAACCTAGATGAAACCATTGGTTGTCTGCTCTTCATTTTGTTTCCCATCTCAGGAGACCGGGAGTTTATGTAGCAACTCGGGAAGAAAGTTGAGTAGACTTGTCTCTCCTCAGTCCCCTCTGTCTTGATCTTTATTTCTTTTTAAAAGATTTTTTTATCAAAAAACAAAACAATTTTTTAAAATTGTGTGTGTGTGTGTGTGTGTGTGTGTGTGTGTGTGTGAACACATGAAGTAGCCCCAGCTCGTATGAAACTTTGTCAAACTCACAGAGATCCTCCTGCCTCTGCCTCCTGAGTCTTGGGACTAAAAGTGTGCACCACCATTTTTCTTGGTTTTTGTTTTGTTTGTTTTATTTATTTATTTAAATTTTTATTATTTTTTTATTTTTTGAGACAGGGTTTCTCTGTGGCTTTGGAGGCTGTCCTGGAACTAGCTCTGATAGGTTGGTCTTGAACTCACAGAGATCCGCCTGCCTCTGACTCCGAGTGCTGGGATTAAAGGCGTGCACCACCAACGCCCGGCTTGTTTAGTTTAGTTTGTTTGTTGGTTGTTTTGTTTTGTTTGTTTTATTTTGCTATTGATTTGTTTTTGAGACAGGGCCTCTCACTGAGCCTGGAGCTCACTGCTTCCCCTAAACCGCCTGGCCATTAAGTCTCTGGGACCCACCTGTCTCCTCCCCAGTGGGGAACAGACACCAGCTTATAATGTGGGTGCTGGGATCCCTGCTCTCATGCTTGTATGGCAAATATGTTACCCACTGAGGCATCTCTCAGCTCGATTGCTCTTCTTTTAATAGAAACATACAGAGACCACGCCCTAGCAGCGTGTGTGATTACAGCAGCCTTAATGATGAGAAAGGACACTGATCATTTGGTCTTTGTTGAATCTGGAAGGGAAATAGTATCCTAAATCCATGTCCAGAGGCAAGCCATGCTGAGAAAGGCATCTGACTATCAAGACAGTCTGGAAAACCTTCGTCTGGGATATACTAATACTTTAAATGCTGGCACCTAAGCTGGGAATGCCAATTCAAGCCAGTAGCAATAAGGAAAACAAGTATTCTTTTTGTCAATTGTTCCTCTTTCCCCCCACTATTAGGTGATCAAACGTAGGCCCACACAAAACAGCCAAATACTTATACCAAGTTATACCCTGAGCCCGAAGAGACTTCTTTTTACTTATTTTTCAGACAGTCTTGTGTAGTCTAGCCAGGTTTTGCACTCTCTAAGTTGCCAAAGATGACCTTGAATTTCTGACACACACACCCCTCTCACCACTACCTCTTGAGTTCTGGGTTAAGTATGTGCCATCATGTAATTCTGAGAATCGAACCCAGGGTCTCATGCATTCTAGGCAAGTATTATACTAACTTTGCCTACATCTCTATCCCTATATGTAGCCCAGGCTACACTAGAACTCAATATGTAGCTCAGGCTGGTTCCTAAATAGGCTATATTCCTCTTGCCTCCGTCCAACTAGAAATTAAAAAGAAAAAAAAAAAAAATCGATCTCTAGGACAAACTCAAACTAGGAGCCAGCACGCGCCACCTTTTACCATCAGAAACTGTAAGAGGCCGTTCATCTAAGGGAGATGAAGAGATTGAGGACACCCCAGCCTAAGTTTTTACAACCTTACAATTTCTGCCACCCCAGGCTGCCCTTTAGTTGTTCAACCTAGCAAATGCAGGCTTGATGAGATGCTGTAAAACCAGAGGAGCTGATCACAACCTCTGGTAGGGTTGAGTCCAGGACAAGGAACACACTCAGTACAGCAGAAAGCAACACCCCTCCCCCACAATGATGTCATAGCCCCTGGCTGTATGGCTAAGACACACACACACACACAGCAAATCACAGGACTCATGTTCTGGAAAATGTCTGAGCTCATGAAGAGCTCTGCCCCCTGGCCTGCCCCTTCCCACTCTTCAGAAGTCCCTCTCCCGTCACCCAGAGTTTAAGGATCTCCGGATGATGGTGGTCCAGGGTTCCATATAAGTCAATCCCCCCAGGATGGATGTAGGTGGAAATATTGCCTAGATTCCCAGTTTGCTCAGCCCACTGAAAGGTATTTCTTTTAAGACTCAAGCAGCTGTAGTGGACAAGGACCAGAAGCCAATGTGGGGTTTCCCGAATGGAGACAGAAGGGGCAGGGAGAGGACTCTGCTGCAGAGGGTTTAGCTTCTCACGGTACTGATACTTTTGCCTGTTGAATTCAGTCAAGGAGTGTGGAATTGTTTTTGAAAACTGTCAAATGGCCCCTAAATGTGCAAAGTCAGTATTTACAGGGCTGAGGTGAGGGCTCCCTCAGCCCCTATTTTGTTTTGTTTTGAAAACAAAGTCTCATTCTAACTCCAGCTGTCCTGGAACTTGCTAATAGACTAGGGGGCTGGAGAAATGATACAGCAGTTAGCAGCACATACTGCCCTCGGAGCGGTCTAGAGTTTGGCTTCCAGCGCCTAAGTCAAGTCACTCACAGCCTCCTCTAACCCCAGCTCCAGGGCATCTGATGCCCTCTTCTGGCCTCTGAAGGTACCTGCACTCATGTGCATGTTCACCGGCACATGTGTACGCACTCAATTTTAAAACCATAAAAGCAAATCTTAAAAAAGGAAGTCTCAGCCTTAGCGCCATCTTCCTTGAAACTCATGCACCAAGAGATGGAGATCCGAGTGGAGGGAAATTCGAATGCGCATGCAACGGCTGAAGGGCAAGGGGAGAAAGACGAGGCAGAAAGAAGTCCAAGGAAATTAGCTCGTGCACCCAAGAAGGCTGGAGGAGCAGAAGCGAGGGATGCTGAAGGCTGAGATGCTTAAGGCTGGGACACTGGTACAAGTTGTTGGCCTGTGTGCTACTGTTAGCAGGAAGTCTCAGTGAATCTGGGACATCACAGTCTGCTCAATGCGACCATCTGAGAGACTACCTTCCTACAACCCAACGGTCCTGCTGGCCCTCTGCCCTATACCTGGGGCATTCTGGACTCATTCTGTTCTTACTTGTGGCCAAGTGTGACTCTTAGCCATCTTTCTCGCTGCCTGAAAAGTAAAGTAAAAAATACCGATGAGTGGAGTGAGTTCGCAGAGGTGAGTGGAGTTTGAGTTCCCAGAGGTTGTCTGTTTGTTTCTGGCTCCATGAGTGGAGTTTGAGTTCCCGGAGTTTGAGTTTCCGGAGGTTGTCTGTTTCAGTTTCTGGCTCCATGCAGGAAACAAGTGTTCACTCCTGCCATGATGCTCTGCCTGAGGCCCACCCACAGTGACTGACAAGGCAACTGACCCGCTCACAGGAACCTCTGAAACCATAAGCTGCAACACGTCCTTCCTCCTTTTAACTGTTTCCAGGGGTGTTTTGCTACATTGGCAAAAAAGTAACTAACGGGTGTAGCAGTTCTAATTACCCTGAATAGCTCTGGGTACCCTTCTCTTGTTTGTGGATACATTTCTCCAGAAGGTCCTAGAGTTGTGTACAGCAGAGAGATTACAACCTTAGTGTGTGCACAAGCCGGGTGTGGTGGCACACACGTGTGGTGTGGTGGCACACACGGTTAGTCATAGCACTCGGGAGGTGAATCTCCGTGAGTTTGAGGCCAGCCTGGTCTACAGAGTGAGGTCCAGGACAGCCAAGGCTACACAAAGAGAACAAAACAAAATAAAAAACAGAAAACCAAAAGGCCAACCGCGACAACAAAAAACCTTTAGTGTGCACGACAGCATATCTATTGAAACCCCATTCGAATGTCCACTGCTGACCCCATCCCTGGAGCTTCCCATTCAGCAGGCAGGCCAAACCTGGAAATTTTTAGTTTTTAGAAAAAGTCTCACCGTGTAGCCCTGGGGGGAGAGGGGAGACCTGCAACTTGCTAATTATACCAGGCTGGCCTCGAACTCACAGAAATCCACCTGCTTCTGCCTCCTAAATGCCAGGATTAAAGGCCTTGTACCACTCCTGCCCCGCTCAACTCCACATCTTAATCTCCCCATCCCTTGCCTCCCTTTTTGAGACAGGGTCTCTGATAGCCAAGGCGGGTCTTGAACTAGGTAGATGAGGACCATCTTGAACTTCTCTCCTGCTGCCTCTACCTTCTGAGTGCTGGGATTACAGACATAGGACAGTGTACCTACCCAGGACATGCGTTGCTGAGGCTGCGACACCAGGCTTTGAGCATGCTAGGTAAGCACTCTGCAGACTGAACCATAGCCCCAAGCCCTTGAACTTGCCAAGAACACATCCCTATGGCTGCTACTGACCTGAGTACCAAGCTCCAGGCCCAAGACAGCATTAAGGGATGAACATGTCTGGAGATGTTTTCTCTAGTTTGCATGCTATTTTTGATAAAATTGGGCTAGCAAGCAAAAATCATTATAGTACATGAAATTTCTATGTCTGCCCCATGTATATATTGACATGTTAAACCCCAGTCCCACAGAATGTGACCTTAGTTGGGGATGGGGGTCTGTTTGAAGGAGGGACGATGAGAGGGGGTCTAATGTAGCTGAGATGACCTTGATCTGACCCCTGCCTCCACCTCCCAAGTGCTGGGGTTGCAGGTGTGTGTCACCATGTCTGGCTTTGGTGGCAGGTATTTACTGAGGGCAGCAGGTAAAATGAAATTATAAGGGCAGGCCCTAATCCAATATGACGGATGTCTTGGCAAAAGCGGAGACTTGAACACAGACAGATCCAGCTAGAGCTCTGTGTGAATATGCAAACCTCCAAGTCCAAGGCTGGGCGATGGGGGGCTGGGGCAGATTCTCTTTCTATGCTCAGTAGAAGTGACCCTGCTGGCAACTTGATTCTGAAAGGATGTGAGCTAACACATTCTAGTTTGGAAATCTGTCCCCAGCCCCTAGCCCTTGCAGACTGCATACGTGCTTTCTTGAAGGCCT